TAGTGTACGTATACATACATCTAAGTATTGGATGAGGTTGTTTGACCCATAAATCTACTTCAAAAAGCATAAATCAGGCAAAAATACTTGGGAAAAAAAAAAGAAGCTATTTTGAAGAAGATCCACTATTTCTCTATAAACTCCAGTTGGACCAAACATGAACTATGCCTGCCATGTTTGATTCTAGGATTATAAAGCTTGGGTGATTCTGTTTTTTACAACTGTCAGCGTTACTATTTTGCATTCATTATATGTTATTTTCTCGATTGGCTCTTGAACAAGTGTTTATCAGTTAAAAATGGTTCCTCTGTTTGACGAGATTCATAATTTTTTCAGTGTGCAGTCATTCAATTGCCCTCACAGACATTACTCCTCTCGGTTTCTGATAAAGCTTGCCGCTTGATTGGGATGCTTTTCCCAGGGGTAAGATTATGTACTTTCTTAACATGCCCCCCGATATGGCGATATGTGACTTAATAATCATCCATTACTCGGCCATTCTATATAACTTCTCTATGCATTTTAGGATATGGTAGTGTTTAAACCCCAGATCACAAACCCCCAGCAGCAGCAACAGATGCAAGCACAACAACACCCGCAGCTTCAGCAGTTGCAGCAGCAAGCGCTCCCGCAGTTGCCCCAACAACAGCAACAGCAGCAGCAACAACAACAGCAACTTCAACAACTACAGCAGCAGCAACAACAACAACCGCTCTCGCATATGCAACAGCAGCCCATGATGCAGCAGCTACAGCAACAGCAGCAGATGCAACAGCAGCAGCAGATCCCACAAATGCAGCAGCAGCAGCAGATCCCGCAAATGCAGCAGCAGCAGCAGCAACAGCAGCAGATCCCGCAAATGCAGCAGCAGCAGCAACAGATGCAGCAGATGCAGCAGCAGCAGCAACCACAACAGCAGCAGCAGCCACAGATGGTTGGGACAGGGATGAACCAAGCATATATGCAAGGCCCGGGACGGTCGCAGCTAATGTCCCAAGGGCAAGTTTCATCACAAGGACATCAAAACATGCCTGGGGGTGGGTTTATGAATTAATCCCCCACTCTGCAGAATAGGGACTGATGTAAAGATTGGATTTTTACACAAGGAAACAGATATGAGATATCTCCCCTTGGATCAAACAGCCAGGTTCTTCTATTGAAATTTGTGGGTTTTAGTTTACACACATAATTATCTGTTCCGGCAAAATTTATTTTCCTTTTATAAAATTAAGTCAGCTAGTGCTAACATTTTGTAATATTGCACTTTTTTTTGGGGGTGGGGGTGGGGGTGGGGTGGGGGTATGCATTTTGTAACTTGTGGTTGTGGTATCTTGTCTTTGTTTCATCATTGTGTCAGTGGGAAATATGACAATAACGCTAATTATTATCATTTCTATTTTCTATTAGCCAGGTTTTTTTTTTTGTTTGTTTGTTTCAAAGCTTTTAAAGATGGTCGGGGAAAAGGGCTAAAAAGTATTTGTATTTTAGGGTATGCTTGAATTTCAGTTTCATTTAATTTAGGGGTATTTGATAAATAGTTGTTAGTATGTTTGATTAGTTAATAACATTAGTTGATTGTAGAAAAATGTTTGTTAAATTAGTGGTTAACTGATTACATACAAAATGATTTATTTTAAAAAGTATATCGAAAAAGTCGTTTTGAGCCGCTTTTTTAATTTTAGTATTTTGGAGCTGATGGGAATATTACCCTCGTGTACGGGTCGTCCTACGGTCAATATTTCGGTCAGTAATTGGCCCTCGGGACCGCATCAAGGACAACGTGACCGTCCTGACCGCCTTTCTCGAGCTAGTCATGTAGAAACCCCGAACCCTGGGCTACCCACCCTTCATGTTTGGACCGACCTCTAGGGCTCGGGCTGAGTCTATGTTTGATGATCCAACATTTTTAGGAATATAGCACCACGTGTTGTAGACTCCCTCGACCCTGGTCTCGTCCAGTGCATGCGAGCCACGTGCCCTCCATGTTGGAAGCTTGGGTCGTGTCCCCTTCTCTCCCTTATAAATATCTCATTTATTGTTTGAGGGGGGGGGGGGGGGGGAGGGGGGGCTTTTGGCAAGTACTTTAGACTCGGGCTATTTGACCGGAGACTCTCGACCCACTGTCAGAGGATACTCCACATTCGATACAGTACTGTACGTGTACTTTCGTATTACTGTATCAGTAAAGAATCTTTGTGGAGTGTATACCGTATTTCGATCCCCACAGACGGCGTCAAAATGATACGGTTAATTAATTACTCGATGTATGTGGAGTGTATGTAGAATCAAGAGTAGAAATGGTAGAATAAAGATTCTTTTAATCATTATTATTCTTCTATTTAACTATTTTGTAAAGAGAGAGGAGAGAGAGGAGAGAGTGTGTAGGGAGGAAGGGAGGAACCCCCAAAATGAAGGGCTAAAGTCCTTCAATAGGCACGTGTCTCATTGACTTTGACTCACAGACTTTGATCATGACCTGAACCGTTTGACATTGACCCCGACCACAAAAGGAGAGTATGGACATATAGAGAAGTCAAAATCGGGATATATTCCCTATCAGGAGCATTAGAATGTTATAAAAAGTTAATTGATCAAACATTCATGTTGGTTGTTTAATCAAGTCAAACAGCTAATAGTGATCAAACAAGTCAAAATTAATTAATGAATTAACTATTTTACCAAATAGGATGTTAATGTTCTTTCAATCCACTCATATATGACTATGATTGAATACACAATTACAATTACGGAGTAATAATTTAATAGAATATATATCTTTAATCCTTAAATAAATGGAATTAAATTCTCTTACATACCCATTTGATTTGATTTGATATTTTTGAAACTGTTGTTAGTGGATCAAACTATTTAACCTCATGGGAGTTGTTGAAGAGTCAAGATTGGATTTGAGATCAAATGTGTTGACTATTTAGTAAATTTGTAGTGGGGTGAATAGAGTAATATGGTGTTACATCATTTACTCAACTATTTACAGATTAGATTGGTTTTTGCCACAGCGCTAGGTCCAAAAGTGAGGGGTCATGTAATTTATCACATTTACAAGATCTTAGGGGTAGGATAGAATTTTAAGATTAGTATTATAAAAAAAGACTCGTCTAAGTGCACCAAATGGGGCGGCTTAAAAGATGCTAACATACATGTCCTGTCCACTCCAAAAATGAGAGATTATCTAATTTACTACATTTACATAATCAATTTAACGGGTTAAATCTTTTTTGATAGCTCCGGTGTTAAATTGTTTCTGACTTCTTTTTGAGAAAGGAAAGTTGCCTTTGAATACAGCAAAAGTTGCTCTAATTTTTATTAGGTAGGTCCATTATTCTTCCAAAAGGCTGAACCCCAACCCTAAGGGCCCCCCACATCCCAGCCCGACAGAACATTTAGGAGGATGTAAATGATGTAAATCATGGTGACTCAACTAAACATGAATCACAGAGGTTAGACCGGTGACTCAACTAAACATGAATCACAGAGGTTAGACCGGTGCTCACTGCGCACAAGGAACCCCCCTCACTTTGAGAGGTTGCTCCCACACTGCCGCTGGTGAGACTCGATCCCTGGTCATAGGTAGGTCCATTATTACTTTTATATATGCTTTCCCTTGGAGCGTGGGGGATAATTTTATGTTAATTAAAATCATTATAGGATGCAGTAATGTTTAAGTTAGATTGAGAAAGAAGCAGAAGAATAGATGCTTGCTTTGGGCTAATGGGGACATGTAAAAGCAAAGAGAATAAGACATTAATTAACCAATGTAATGATTACAAGATAGGCATCAAATCTCCCACCAATAAACCAAACTCTTCATCGCCACCATTAGCCTTCATTATTCAACATTCAAGAATGACCTCTCCAAACAAAACCAACCACTATGTATATTTTCATGATGACCATATATAAGCACTTGATCCAAAGAAAACCCTTTTTAAGATTGTTCCAAACTCTGAATAAAACATGGAATTATGGGCAGATGCATTTTGGAAAAGACCTTTCCCATACTGCAGGTTGGTGGTGTACAAACATCATGCATCTATGTTCCACAGTTCAGGCCAATAAATTAAAGTTTTTTTTTTGTTATGGTAAAATTTGTTGTTTAACCTGACTTTAGCTTATTATAATTGATTGGCTGTTATATATTCAATTAAGGGGTCACTAATTTAATTTGTAATCAATCATAATGAACAATATTAGGTAAAACCTAGTTGGTCAGACAGTTGGCTTGGTAACTACAAGATTTCAAATTTAACTCTCTATGGGAGGTTGTCTATAGGTCTCTTGGTTTAAGTCGATCGGTCAGCTATGAACAACCTATGCACCTTAGACACTTTCAGGTAGCGGTTACAACTTTGCAAGCTTTCTCATAGATCAAAGATTACACATCTTCAATTCGTCCATAGATTATGTTTATTATTTATTTTTATACTTTCGGTTAGAGATTAATTTTATCTGAAATTGAGTTATTGTCAAATTTCAAATTGAGAGAACTCTTGCAACACATGTATGACTCAGCAGTAATCTATTTTAAATTACCAACAATGGATTTTTTTCTCCTTCACTTGAATAAACTAGAGTATGTAATACACTCCATAATATGTAATACTCTTCGAGTCTTCGCAATAAATTTAAAAAGTTGAATAAATAAAACTTTTCCTAGGAAGGTTTTTTTTTTTTCAAGGAAAATCTTATAATATTATGAAAATTATATTCTCCTTTTATGTATATCTGGTAAAGCATGCAATATAACTTTCCAATGCATACTATATGAGTATCGAGTTTCTTAGGAACAAAAAGTGAGCATATGACAAACAGATAGAAACGACGAATTTTACAATTACTCAATAATTTATGGACGAAAGGTGTAATTTTCTCTTTATTATATTCTACATTAAAATTAAAGAAATAAAAGAATGAAACAACGTAGCACAGCATAAATACGCGATAATGATGAGAGGTGATGATCACAATTCACAAATAAAACATCATATATATCCTCAGCTGATCAGCTCCCACATTGTTGGTGTGTATCTTAGGTTAACGGCAATATGGTTTCAGGTTCTCCTTCACCTACCCCAAAAGTGAGCATATGCCATCCTCATCACCTCCTAGCTAGCTTGTCTTATGTTGTTTTGGTTCAAGAATTGAATCTATCCCTTGTTTATGTTCCTGTTTTTTTGCAGGCAGTTCTCTCTGATGAGCTATGGAAAGGAGAAAATAATGGGCCTCCCAGGGAAGCCAAATGGTGGTATTCCACCTTCCACACTGTCACCGCCATGGTTGGTGCTGGTGTTCTTAGCCTGCCTTATGCCATGGCTTACTTAGGCTGGTAACTTCAATACTATTTTGATTTATAATATATATCATTTCAACTGTTTTTGTTAGGATCAAGTGCTTAATTACCACTACGTCAAAAGTTATAGTTAGTACTGAATGCGTAACAACTTTAATTTATTTCCTTATGCTTGTCCACATTTTTTAAAGGGTGCTGAACGTAACCTTTCATGCTTCTGTCCAACAATTCTTAGCACCTGTATGTCAGTTTTAACTGCACAGTTTACTCTTGCTATAGGACTCACGCTTACCACTAAGCCAAAAGCTATAACTAATAGCAAAGGCGTAAATGTAAGTGCTTGATCTAACAAGCGGTACCAACTACCAAAGCATATATATATATATATATATATATATATATATATATATATATATATATATATATATATATATATATATATAGGTCACTGAACTATCCAGTTAAGGCTGATAAGTGCTGAGGAAATTGTTGAGCGGATGCCTGAAGGGCAAGAAAATAAAGTTGCCTCTTTTGCTAGTAGTTATACTTTTTTTTTTTTTTTTTTTTTTTTTTTTGCATATGTAGTGATAAACACTTATCCTAACAGTTTTGTATATATACAAAAATCCTAACTCGGGCCACTACTGTGTTAAGGGGTCCGGGAACCGTGATGATGGTGTTATCGTGGTGCATAACCTTGAACACGATGTGGCAGATGATACAGCTGCACGAATGCGTGCCCGGGGTTCGGTTCGACCGGTATTACGACCTGGGACGACACGCTTTCGGGGAGAGGCTCGGGCCATGGATAGTGCTGCCGCAGCAGCTAATAGTTGAGGTGGGGTGTGACATTGTTTACATGGTGACAGGAGGGAAGTGCCTGAAGAAGTTCATGGAGTTGGCTTGCACCAATTGTGCACCCATTAGGCAGTCCTATTGGATTTGCATATTTGGTTCCATTCACTTCTTCCTCTCTCAGCTCCCTAACTTCAACTCTGTCTCTGCCGTTTCCCTGGCTGCAGCTATCATGTCATTGAGGTATATATCTATCTATGCTACTTCTATATGTAGATGTCAATTCAAATGCGGCCATGTCTTAATGTGTGATTGGTGCAGTTGCACTATTAGGTACGTAAAAACGCACCAATAATGTTAGAAAACGTACAACAATGAAATGTACTAATGCACCACAAAAACGCACTACATACTCAAAAAAAATGCACCATACCTTCCCACACTTAATTGTGCTTTTCGAATACTGTGTGGTGCATTTATGCATACTTAATGGTGCATTTTGTGGTTATGCGTACCTAATGGTACATTTTTTTGTGTATTGGTGCATTTGTTTATAGAAGTATATGTTCATAATTTTATTACTATATGTTAATAACTGTACATTCATAACTCCATAACTGTACGTTCATAACTCCATAATTGTACGTTCATAACTCTATAACTGTACATTCATAACTCCATAACTGTACATTCATAACTCTATAACTGTACATTCATAACTCCATAATTGTACATTTATAATTTTTGAAGCTCTATGTTCACAATTTTAGAGCTCTATGTTCATAATATTATCACTATATGTTCATAATTGTAAGTTCATAATGTTAGAGCTCTTTGTTCATAACTGTACATTCATAATTCCATAACTGTAGATTCATAATCTCATAACTGTAGATTCATAACTCCATAACTGTAGACTCATAACTCTATAACTGTACATTCATAACTCCATAACTGTACATTCATAATCTTCGAAGCTCTATATTCACAATTTTAAAGCTCCATGGTCATAATTTTATCACTATATATGTTCATAATTGTAAGTTCATAATGTTAGAGCTCTGTGTTCATAATTTCATAATTGCATAACTGTACATTCATAACGGTATAACTGTATATTCATAATCCAAAAAAAAAAATAAAAAAAAAATAACGCCGTTAACGGCAAAAAACGCGCGAAATTTTTTTTTTTACTAAATGACGCGTTTTTTTTTTTTAAAACGACGTCGTTTTGGGCCCGTGTCCACAATGAATTGTGGACACGGGTCCAGGGCATAATTTGCCTTGTTCAAATGCGGTCGTGCCTTCCCGTGCGATCGTGCAACCGCTTGACAAAATACACCAATAGTGGTAGGAAAATGCACAACAATGAAATGCACAAATACACTAAAAAATGCATAACACACCCAAAAAAAACATCATAACTTTCCACACTCTAATTGTGCATTCCCAAACACTATGTGGTGCTTTTTTTCATACATATAACCTAATGGTGTGTTTTTGGTGATGCCTACCTAATTTGTGCATGTTTTATGTTGTGCATTTCTTAATGTTGTTGGTATATATTTGTATAACTATTGGTGCGGTCACACGAAAAGGCACGACCGCACCTAAGCTCTGACTATATATATATATATATATGGTAGGGAATATCCCGACCGACATACGCTCCACCACGACCGATTTGCCTTTGTCTTTCTCTTGTGATCTTTTCAGGTGGCAGGTCGGGCTTTTTTTCATGAAGACCCCGGTCGGGAATGGCCGGGAGTTGCCCGAGCGCTGATGTCAACCACCGAGCGGTAGCCCTTCGACGAAAGAGCTGGTACAAGGACGCGAGAGGACGCGTGGCGGCTCTTCATGGCGACAGGCAGGGCACCCGGGAAGATGACACGTGGTGGCTACGTGGAAGACATGCCGAGCGGTAGGAATCTTGTCCCCGGCATAGCGGCTATAAATGCCCACAGTAGCTACAGTGTAGGGGACTTTTGGACGATCGATAGGTTGTTGTTAGAGAATCCTGACCGCAGTCAGTCGGTACTCAGAACAACCAAGCAGATTGTACTTAGGGCCTTTCCCGGGATCAATAAAGATTTTACTTGCTTTAATTGGTCTCGTGATATTTTATATTGCTTACGTAGTATTAGCAGTATCATTTTGGCGCCGTCTGTGGGGACCGTGCAAGAAACCAACGTTTCGACGAGCACCCGGTCTCTTCACCAATCATGTATCCGTGGGCACGCAACAACTTTGCTGACGACCAAGCGGATGCGGCGAGCTCATCCGACCACCATGCTACCCAACAGCAAGGTCAAACGGTCGACCTCAACCTCAACCTCTCGCCACCGCATCCATCGAATGCATACCCGGCTGCCCAACAGCCGGTGCAGTACATCCAACCAGGGTACCAGCAGCCCGGTCAGCAATATCAGCAACCGATGCCTCAGATGGTCTATCCCGGTCAGTATCCATACCCGGTCCCACCCCAACCATACGGGTATTGGCCAGGCCAGCCGGTATATTACACACCACCGGTCGGTTACGCGCCGTACACACCTGCGTACACGGCTCCAGCCGCCGCCCCTCCAGTATACCCGGCCGCTCAGGTAGAGCCGCAGCATCAGCCCACTTCCCGGGCTCGACGCTCGGCTCGTTCGCGGTTGGGATCGGGGGGTGCTGTTGCGATGGAGGCGTCGCAGGCCCAGCAAGAAGGGGAGGCTCCTGCCCGAGCGGAGGATCCTGAGGAAGTTGCCCGAGCGGTAGCTTTTGACCGTCTTCGCCCGGAAATGCGGCAGAGACTGGGACCCCAAGATCCAGATCGCCGGTTAGAAGACGCGCAGATGCAGGAAGCCAGCCAGGAGGCTTCGTCTGGGCATAGCGGGTCGAGATCTCACCGACGGCGACGCGCTCGGGATACAGCCCAAGCCGCCCAAGCCGCCGAGCTCAACGAAACCCGAGGATTGCTCTACAACCTCCAGGCTGAAGTTGCGCAGCTCAGGAGTGCGTATCCTACAGCACCCCCGGCCGACCGATCGACCCTACACCAGACGCCTTTCACAGCAGCGGTAATGGCCCAGCCTTACCCGCTCGACTTAAAGGTCTCGGGAGAGAAGAGTTACGACGGTCGGACAGACCCGGAGGCTCACGTGAATGATTTTTTTAGCAATATGATGCTGAAGGGCGTTTCAGACGCCGTGATGTGCAGGGCCTTCTACTCAACGCTTAACGGTCGAGCGGCAGAATGGTTCCGAACCTTGCAGCCGGGGTCAATCGACAAATTTGAGACCCTGGCGATCAAGTTTGTACGGAAGTTCGTTACTTCCAAAGTGGTGAGGAAGTCCTATATGTACCTCGAAAAGGCCAAGCAGCTCGAAGGGGAAAGCTTGACCGACTTCCTCATCAAGTGGAAAGCAGCGGTCGGAGAGGTCGAGCCCATGGATGATGCGACCGCCACTCACATGCTTCATATCTCCCTCCGGGCGGGGTATCTCTACCAGGATTTTATCCTCCACCCCCCGACCACATATGAGGAGGCCCTCTGAAGGGTCACTGATTATGCTAACGCAGGTGAGGCGAATGCCGTCAAGCGCTCGCAGGAGGTCGGCTCTTCCTCCCGTAAACCGGCCGGCCGGGCGGAACACCGATCGGGAGATGACAATCCCCGACCCCGCACCAGGCATGGCGAGTTTACGGCCTTGAACCGATCCGCCGCGGAGGCCATGCAGTACGCCCAGTCCTGCAATCTCATCAAACTCCCCCATCCCGATCGAGACGGCCCTGATAAGAGTAAGCATTGTGCTTACCATCGATGCGCCGGGCATGACACCGAGGAGTGTACCCACTTGCGCCAATTGCTGGAAGATTTGCTCAATTTGGGAAAATTGGACAAGTGCGTAGGGAAGAGAGAGGATAGCAAGAGAAGTACCGATCGGAGGGATCACAAGCGATCTCACCACCGCTCTGATCGGTCGGGTCAGGACCGAAGAGACGATCGAAGGGACGATCGTCACGATGACCGACGGGACCTTGACCCCCCATCTGGCAGCCGACCATCCGGCAAGCCCACCATCCATGTCATATTTGGCGGGCTAGAAGATGCATCTCGATCGAGGACGAACTGCCCGGTCGCGATCGTAGATTCTCGGGAGACCGGGAAAAGACAAAGGATGGAACCCATAACCTTCACCCTTGAGGACCAACCTAGCAGCAGCGACCACGGCATGGAGGCGTTGGTGGTCACGATCGATGTCAAGGGGACGGATGTCCAAAGGGTTATGGTGGACACGGGCAGTAGTGTGAACGTCCTTTACTTGGACGTCTTCGAGAAGCTGGGCCTTGACAGGAAGGAGCTGACTCCGGTCGGTGTACCACTGTCGGGATTTACCAGGGCCTTAATCTACCCTGAGGGAAAGATAACGCTCCCCGTAGAGATCGGCACGCCTCCAAAGTCGATCAAGACGGAGCTGGAGTTTGTTGTGGTCAACCTCCATTGTGTCCACAACATAATCTTGGGCCGACCCGCCATTATGAAGATCGTGGGATAATTTCTATGCCCCACCTGTGCATGAAATTCCCTACCCCCAATGGGGTCGGCGTGGTCCGCGGCGATGTCCAATCCGCCCGGAAATGCTACACCCGAGCGGTTAATAGACGCGACTCCGGTCCGTCATCCCGGGTGAATACCATAGCCAAGGAGGAGGCTAAGGAACGAAAGGAACAGCCTGAGCCTTCTGAAGAGATTGAAGAAGTTCCCCTGTCCGAGGACCGCCCGGACAGGAAGATTAAGATTGGCCGAGCCCTCACCCCCGAGCTCCGGGCAGAAGTCCTGGCTGTACTCCGGGAATACGCTGATATCTTTGCGTGGGGGCCCGAAGACATGCCCGGGATCGATCGGTCGGTCGTCTGTCACAAGTTAGCCGTCGATCCCGCAGCCAAGACGGTCGTGCAGAAAACCCGACATCTCTCCTCCGATCGCCACAAATTTGTCAGGGAGGAAGTCAAAAGGATGGCGGCGATCGAGCACATCCGACCGGTGATATATCCCGAGTGGGTGGCTAATATTGTCCTTGTTCCGAAGCCCCCAGCTTGGAGGATGTGCATTGATTTCACCGACCTCAACAAGGCCTGTCCGCTCGACCCTTATCCTCTACCAAGTATTCACCAGATGGTCGACGAGACGGCCGGGGCCGAGTTGATGAGCTTCATGGATGCCTTCAAGGGATATCACCAAATAATGATGCACCATG